GGCCTGAAACCTTACATGTGATTTAAGTTTTGGCCTGTCAAGCTATTGAGCTATTAGACACAGGGTAGGCGCATGAGGCTCAGCCATTTAAACAGATTCTAAAAAAAGGGCTCAGCAAGTAGTCAAAAAGGTTGGAAACCCCTGGATTAGAGCATCCTAACAATAGCACTAGGGAGATAACTGTAGTGGTACCTTTGATGCTGAGACCACCAGATCCAGCTCGGTAGATATGTGCACGGCTGTCACTTATGAGTCGTGTCCGTACAGGGTCTGCAGTGGCTTGGGGTTCAAGTTCACACTCATGCCGGCCTGTAGCAGTGACATTTTCACATGACAAATTGTGACCAATCTTTGAACTAATGAACAATCATGGAAGTCATGAAAGAACTTAAAGACACACACATAAACAACAAAATCATCATCATTATAACACCAGACCTGGTGACCCCTTGGTGAGGGTGAGAATAGATTTCAGCTCTCAAAAACGTAGTTTGAAGTTCCAAAGAGCAGTTTGGTCAAAAGGGAAAGGGAGACGAGGGTGGACGCTGGTTTGCAATCATATTACAAGTTGTGTAAGTGTAAGGAAATCCACTCAACTGCCTATGTAAGTTAACACAGTTAAATGTACAGGATATAATCCTGCGATTTGTTTCTTAAGGATGAGAAAAAGTCTGAGACATGCACTTTGGCAGTTAAGTGTTAACAAAGCAATTCTCTAAAAGATAATATTATGGTTGGTTTTTTGAGATTGAGACCCCTCAAAAGCCAGTCCCTGATATTCGTATTTGATTGCTTATGACGTTAACACAATAAATGCCTTCACTTTTTTATTGAACACGCCCCCTTTATTTAATTTTAAAAAAATTAAAATTAAACCAAACAAATAAAAGAACCCCTAAAACCGTAATATTTTTAGGCTCGTAGGGGTAGACAGGTCTGTAACATACACACACACCCACTCACCCATTCATCCAAGCACCCACCCATTCAAACAGATTTCTTGATGAAAGTTTTGAATTCTTTAAAAAAAAAATTTGTCTAAGATACCAAACAAGGCCAAACAGGTCACAATATCTGAGGGAACATCTGACTGAATCAACTCAAAATAGACTAGAATCCCAAAACAAGTTTCATATCTGTTACAGATTCTCATCACAACATTAAAAAAAATTTTTTTTGAAGCACAGCCTTTTTTCTTAACGCCAGGGCTGTGTCAATCTGAATAAACTTGCAAAAAAATTTAGGAAAACTGTCACTGCAGGAGCCCAGCAAGATTACAAATAATGTAACATATCTGCTGCATCCCCACAAAATTGTGGCCCAGGGTTAACTACTTGAATCTGATGTAAGGGCTCTCTCACCCATGTGACGGATGATATGGTTCACGACTTTTGGTCGACCTGGGCTGTAGACCTGCTGGCTGTTGTCCCAGTAGCCTCCGCTGAACAGCAGCTTGGCATCATGGGACACCACAAACAGCTTGGCAGTGATTCTCATTCCGGGACAGAATAAGCCACCGACGCACTTTTTGGTCCTGCAGAGAGAGAGAGAGAGACACCAAATAAACGACAACTCCACAGAAGGTTTAAATAATTTGATCAATTTTCATTCACATGAATGGAGTGTGATATTTGGTATTACTTTAGGGTATTACCCGCCCCTGAAGCTTCTGCTATAAAATTTTTGTTTTAATTTTACAACTCCACAGAAGGTTTAAATAATTTGATCAATTTTCATTCACATGAATGGAGTGTGATATTTGGTATTACTTTAGGGTATTACCCGCCCCTGAAGCTTCTGCTATAAAATTTTTGTTTTAATTTTATTTTTTATGACTTGTGAGCATGGAGAAAACCCTTCATGTCCCAGGACACTCACTTAGGACTGAGCATGGAGAAAACCCTTCATGTCCCAGGACACTCACTTAGGACTGAGCCTGGAGAAAACCCTTCATGTCCTAGGACACTCACTTAGGACTGAGCATGGAGAAAACCCATCATGTCCCAGGACACTCACTTAGAACTGAGCATGGAGAAAACCCTTCATGTCCCAGGACACTCACTTAGGACTGAGCATGGAGAAAACCCTTCATGTCCTAGGACACTCACTTAGGACTGAGCATGGAGAAAACCCATCATGTCCCAGGACACTCACTTAGGACTGAGCATGGAGAAAACCCTTCATGTCCCAGGACACTCACTTAGGACTGAGCATGGAGAAAACCCTCCATGTCCCAGGACACTCACTTAGGACTGAGCATGGAGAAAACCCTTCATGTCCCAGGACACTCACTTAGGACTGAGCATGGAGAAAACCCTTCATGTCCTAGGACACTCACTTAGGACTGAGCCTGGAGAAAACCCTTCATGTCCCAGGACACTCACTTAGGACTGAGCATGGAGAAAACCCTTCATGTCCTAGGACACTCACTTAGGACTGAGCATGGAGAAAACCCTTCATGTCCCAGGACACTCACTTAGGACTGAGCATGGAGAAAACCCTTCATGTCCCAGGACACTCACTTAGGACTGAGCCTGGAGAAAACCCTTCATGTCCCAGGACACTCACTTAGGACTGAGCATGGAGAAAACCCTTCATGTCCCAGGACACTCACTTAGGACTGAGCATGGTGGCATTCTTGTCAAATGTGTAGAAGTTTGGTATGGACTTGTCAAAGGGGAGCCAACCGTAGACACCTATGACACCATCCTCCGTGATTGTGATCTTTAAGGAGGAAATGAAAAGACAAAAATTATAACCCGCAGTGCTGGATAGGTGACAGGTGACGCAGTCTGTAGCACAAAGGACAAGTGTACTGATGGTCTGCTGGTTCTAATCCCAGCAATATAAAAAAAAATGTCATACTTATCAGTGTAAAAAAAAATTGTGTTTTAATTCCTTCTCACCCCATAGCCCAGTGTATGAAATTTAATAAGCCCTGTAATTAAATCTTGAAGGAACATGTCATGTCCAATAGGGATTAGATCTCTAGCTGTGTTAGAGTTGAGTTGTCATTAAATCTTGAAGGAACATGTCATGTCCAATAGGGATTAGATCTCTAGCTGTGTTAGAGTTGAGTTGTCATTAAATCTTGAAGGAACATGTCATGTCCAATAGGGATTAGATCTCTAGCTGTGTTAGAGTTGAGATGTTGAGGATTTTTATTTTATTTGTACTGCTATTCAACAAACATAAAATTAAATTCAAACATTCCTACCAGGCTACCTGACATGACCTGTTGAAGTATTGACCTTGACTGGCTCCTGGGGACATTGACATACACCAGAGGATCCAAGTCATTGGACACCTGTGGGAGAGACATTAGGCATCAAGACACATGAACCAGATGTATGTGATACACACTAATTTTAAAAAGTTGATAGGCATTCATTTGTCTACCGTAAAACACTTTGATGCATTCCAAATTTTTACAAGAACAGCCATACCATGACTTTGTTCAGCACAGTTTTAGTACAGCTTTGGTATAGTAAGTACAGCTATACCATGACTTTGTTCAGCAAAGTTTTAGTACAGCTTTATGCATGCCTCCAATATCAGAGCTACACATGCGACAACTTCAAGATATTAATGAATAACTGGGTTTCCAAAACACTGAGGGAGTGCGATGTTGCAAAAAGTTATTTAATAACAGAGAAGCAATTGAATTTTAAATCATGACATAAAACAATATTTTGACATTAATATTTTACTTCAAGTCATAAGTCACAGTATTATTGATAAATTCTTCAATTCTCCTGGTACTTCAATTAACAAATTTGAAGGCCATTAGAAGGTCCCCCCCCCTCCCCCAACCAACCTCTCTTCCCTAATTTGTAAAATGCATAGATACTTTTGTAAGAAATGCGAGACTAGGTTTGAAGAGAGTAAAGAAAATAGAAATGGTTGCTACAGAACATAGAAAATGTTGATACACTTCCTTTGTGAATAAGGCTGAATAAACAAAAAATGAATAGTCACCAAAATAATTTGAAAGTACATGAAAGCAATGGAAGAAGAAAAGGCTCTTACATCAACAAGAAAGGTTTCAGGTCTTTCAAAAAATTTAAGACACTCATTGGCTTCGCAGCCTTGGTGGTCTTGACCACAGCCTCATCAAAGTTCAGTCTCCTGGTATGGGGCTCCTGAAACAACAATCTTACAGTCAGCAAAATGATACAAACATCAGCTTTAAAACTGCTTTCCAATCGTCAGTATAAATGGTATATTATTTATGATACAAGCAAATAAAATATAATGGCAACAGAAGACACATTTCTATGGGGGAAAAAAATCATCTATTTAGAAACAAACAAAAAATGATTAATGACAATTAATGCTAATTAAATTTTGACTGTAGTTAATATCAATCCGAGTCAATCTTAGTTCAAGCCAATGACAGTTAATGTCTTTTATAGCTGTTATGTTTTCAATGTTTTTATTTCAAACAATAAACATTGACTTTATATACATAAATACAAGTTCTCAATCAGGTGACTTTCTGCTTGCGTCTGGAACACACTCTTCAATAACACAAACTCTCTATTGCCCTAGTTGGCTATGGGGGCGGCCTTGTCCGCTAGTCTACAATAACACCTCCCCAAACAATTACAAGTCCAGTAACAATGGTGCTCGATGTTGTCTTTGAGATCTTCTGGGTATGACAAAGTCTGAAGGTCTTGGATGTCGAGGGTTAATCTTCTTCTTAAGTGGACTTGGAGTTGCTGGATGTGTAGACGGTTGATGACTCAGGGCTGCCTGGGCTGTTGGATAAAGACTTCCTGTCATGATATCCAAACCTGGCTCTGAATCTTCTTCTGCTCCGTACCTGGGGCGAAGTTGGTCTAAATGTCTCTTCCATATGGGACCATTCGGATAAATCTTCATCTTGAAAAGACGTGGACCCATAACTTGGATGATTGTACCGGGAGCCCATCGTGGTTTAGAGTCTGCTGCTGTTCCATATACTCTAACGTAACATGGATCTCCCCGGTTCAATGATCGACTAGGACTTCTATTTGTCCCATTGTGAATGGCTATTTCTTTACGATGTTGTCCCCGTGCTCGATGAGCAGAAGAGGGAACTAGAGTATCAATAAGTGTTCTTATTTGCCGATTGTTCAGCAGTTGGCTCGGTGATAATCCACTGGCCAATGGTGTCCTACGATACTGACATAGAAAGTCTTGTAGAGATTCCTTTAGAGGTAGAGAGGATTTCTTTATTGAACTCTTGAAACTTTGACTCGGTCGTTCTGCAGCTCCATTTGTAGCAGGATGATAGGGAGATGTACAAGACCCCTCTCTTTACACCAATGCTGAAATTCTTCAGAGATGAAGCTAGTAGCATTGTCACCCCTCAAAGCTTTTTGTTCCCCATATTCTTTCAACTGAAATAATTGTAAGAGGGTCAAGGAAACACAATATTATTAAATTAATTTCCACGCCCTTTCAGTTGGTCCAAACCCCAGTGTTACTATCCAAATTAAGAATGCAACTTTCATTGTATGAAAACTCATTGTATGAAAAGCGATTGTACGAAAAGTTAGAAACATCACACAGGAGTCATCTCACTGATGAACACTTGCAGACCATCATGAGAAATCTCAATGAAACAAAACGTTACTCCCATGCTGAAATTCTTCCAAGATGAAGCTAGTAGCATTGTCACCCCTCAAAGGTTTTTGTTCCCCATAATTCTTTCAGCTGAAATAATTGTCAGCGGGTCAAGGAAACACAACATTATTAAATTAATTTCAACGCCCTTTCGGTTGGTCTAAACTATGGTGTGTGGATAGTCGAAATGAGCCAAATCTTCCTCCAGAAGATCAATGGTGGCTTTGGTCGATGTAGATGTTGTCCTGTGGATACATGGATACTTTGAATAAGCATCTATCACCACAAGCCAGTGTGATCCCTTAAAGTTAATGAAATGGTCGATATGCACTCAACTCCATGGTTTTTCTGGCAGCATCCATGGGTGGATACTTGCTTTATTTGGATCTCTGGCGTTTTCTGCACATGCCTGGCATGTTTGACCTATCTCCATGATGTGAGCATCAAGTCCGGGCCAGTATACAGATGATCTGGCTAACCGTTTCATCCGCTCTATACCAAAATGTCCTGTATGCAGGATTTGGAGAACTTGAGCTTGTAGTATTTTTGGTACCACACTTCTTGAACCATAAAATAGACAATTCGACTCCACGGATAGTGAGTCTTGAATATTTTTAAAAGCTGCAATATTAGCTGCATCCTTGTTCAAGTGCGCTTTGTTTGTAGTAGAGGATGGCCAGCCCTCTTGACAATATCTCATTACTGTAGACACAGTTGAATCTTTAAGTGACTCTTAAGCAAGGACTCCTGGGTCTGTTGGTCTGATCTGTAAACTGATTTGTTTGATCATGCATACAGAATCCATGTCTGCTTCACTTTCTTCCACATCAAAAATGTCATCAGGCCCTGAGGGTAGACGACTAAGAGCATCCGCATTGCAATGTTCAGTTGACTTACGGATTTGTTCACAAGCTTTACTCAATGAGTTTTGATTACGAATGTGATTTATCTTTGTTTGAACAGCGTGTCTATTGAAAGCCTGAGGTTCTTTACTGCGGTTCTTCCCAACAAATTTAAGTTGAGGTTTTCCACTACTACAAAAGACAGATTTGTAGTTATTTCCCCTGCCTCAGCATGAATCTGCACACTTCCCAAAACATTACGTAGGTTACTAGATGCTGACTCGTACTTGACCGAAACTGGGCTCAACATGGGTTGTCACAGCTTTCGCCAAACAGATTCAGACATAAAATTTTCTCCGGCTCCGGTGTCAATTTCGAATGCAAACTTCTTTCCTTCTAAAACTAGTTCTTGAATAATGGGTGGGATAGTTTTTATTTGGTTTCGCCTTCTTATTCTTTTGAGATGAATCGGTTTCTGTTTTGGAGCATACTCTTTCTTATTAAGACAAACTCTTTCTAGATGTCCTCTCTTGTGGCAAAAGCGGCAGATCATGTCTTGATACTTGCAGACATTTCCTTTATATCCTCTTCCTCCACACCTGCCACAAGTTCCATTCGGAAAATCTTGTCTTTGAGATGGAGAAAATTTCTCTGCTGTCTGATGCTGCTTCTTTCTTTGTGTCTGAATTTTATTGATAGGAGTTTCATCATGGACTGTTTCTTTGGCACAATTCGCTGCCTCCTCTGTTTCAACAGCTATTTCTACTGCTTGTTGAATGACAGTTCAGTGTTTTTCATCTGGGACATTAACTGAAGGGGGTGTTAACTGAAGGGGGGTGTTAACTGAATGGGGGTGTTATCTCACTGGGAGTGTTAACTGACTGAGGGTGTTAACTGAATGGGGGTGTTATCTCACTGGGAGCGTTAACTGACTGAGGGTGTTAACTGAAACAAAATTTTCAATACAGCCTCGTTCTTTACAGAGCACATGAATCTTGTTCGTAAAGCTTCATCTAGAGGATTTTTGTTTTTACCTAACTCACAAGTGGCTGCATTCTGTCTTATCCTAGCTGCCAATTCTTTGATTGTTTCCCCTGGTTTCCAACTTGAATCAGACAAAAATATGAATCTTTTCCTGATCACAAATTTGGTCGGATCAAACTGATCCATCATTACCACATATATTTCTTGCATAGTTATTTCATTTAAGTTTTGTGGTGGTTCTCTTTGTTGTACGAGGGTTGACAACAGTTTATGGAGTTCTGGCATTTGGCTAGTTAAAAAATGTGTGCCTGCCTTTCCTTTGGCACATTGTTTGCTAAAACGAAGGTCACATATCTAGAGTAGTAGTCCGTGAATGTTTCCTCGATACTATTGAAACTTGTAAACTTCATAATACTAGCCGTATGCCCCGTTGCTACTTTTAACAGTAACTCATTCTGCTGAATCAGCCTTTGGATGATGTCCATTTTTGGTCACATTTGACTCAACCATTGTGTGTTTACCTCTTACATTATGTGAAGTCACTGGTGTGTATCGGTTTAACACTAGTCAATTCTCGGTTGTACTGAGTTGTACTGAGTTATACTATGTTGTAGATACTGACCATCATACTGTGCTGTTGATACTTGACACCATTTGTTATGTTTTCAATGTTTTTATTTCAAACAATAAACATTAACTTTATGCATAAATACAAGTTCTCAATCAGGTGACTTTCTGCTTGCGTCCGGAACACACTATTCAATAACACACACTCTTTGACCACAGTCTCTCTGCGCATGCGCGCTATTGGCTATCGGAACAGCCTTGTCCGCTGGTCCACCATAACAATAGCCTAAGTCAGTCATAGTTAATTAAAGCCAAGTCAATCACAGGTAAAGTCATTCATAGTTAATGCCAATCATAGTTGTAGCCAATCCAATTTTGATAAAAAAATGACATTTAAAAATTCTGCCGACCATCATTTCTAAATAGCTAAGTTTGTTTATTAAGGTTTCATTAGAGAAAGAACTCTAGGAAAGTTTACCTTGAGCAGTTGGGATGGGGTCAGGCCAAATTTTCTGATCATGCCTTCAACAGACAATCTTTCTTTGGGGTCTTGGATGGCATCCAGATCCACAGCTCCTGTAAAATTGTTACATGGTCATTTGACAAAATGATGTTTCTGTATTCCATGTCATGTGACAGAATGATGTTTCCGTATTCCATGTCATGTGACAGAATGATGGTTCTATTTGAAGTGACAGACTCAATGATTTAAAGTCATGTGACAAAATGATGATTCAATTCATGTGGCAGAATGATGATTCAAGTCATGTGAAAGAATGATAATTTCAATTGATGTGAAAGAATGATGATTTCAATTGATGTGACAGAATGATGATTCCAATTGATGTTACAGAATGATGATTCAAGTCATGTGATAGAATGATGATTTCAATTGATGTGACAGAATGATGATTTCAATTCATGTGACAGAATGATGATTTCAATTGATGTGATAGAATGATGATTCAAGTCAAATGACAGAATGATGATTTCAATTGATGTGACAGAATGATGATTCAAGTCATGTGAAAGAATGATAATTTCCATTGATTTGACAGAATGGTTTTCAAGTCATTGTGACAGAATGATGATTCCGAGCCATGCAAAAGAATGATTTACTTTCAGAAAAAAAAGGTAATGTGGAGATTTAGTCTCTTAGTCATGCCTGGATGATTCATACATCACAAAGATGAAGAATTCAACAAACACCTGATCAAACGTCCCCCCCCCCCCTTTCCCCGACTTTAGTCCCTTAGTTTCCTTCTCACACATTTACACAAACCCATTACCAGTCTTCTCCTGTTTAAGATGTTCACCTCTATGTATCATGGTTGGTAATTTTCATTTCTTATCTACATCTAATGTCACAGATGGTATTTATTAAACGTTATGTACACACTGATGGTGTTATTTATTAAACATTTATGCACACGTTGATGGTGTTATTTATTAAAGAAATTAGTTACTGGGAAGTAGTAAACATGACAACCTGCCATCATAATTGATGACTTGCATTTTGCATAATTAATTTGTAATAGAGGACATGCATACCTTCATATGTAACGTAATTGAGGACGTCGAGGGCCTGCACTGCGGCGGAGCCTTTCTGTTTGTATCCAAATATCAGGTCGATCCAGTTGTGTAGATGGGCCGAAACATACTCACTTTCCTGAGGAAACAGGAAGTCAGTTATTTCAATTTAATCTGACTAGGGCCTACCATAAAAATCAAGGCCATTTATCCTTGAAACTATTTTCAATGTATCTACACATTACACATGGAACAATTTACACATAGAAGCAAAAAAATAAAATGATTCAAAACATATTCAATGATATTTTGTGCTTATACTCATATAAAACACATCTTGTCAGTGTCTAGATATGTCATTGATTATTACTTATTACTTAAATAACAGTTCCAATACAGTCAATAGGCAAGAAGTCACATTGGGGGGCATATTGCATGGGTCACACCTTGTCATACAGTAGTAGTCTGTTTATAAACCACTTACAGTTATTTGATATCATAGTGCCACAGACAGGAAAAGAGGGGGTGGGGTGTACCCCCAATTTTCAACACCCCAACATTTAAAGCAGTACAGTCACATCTATACTGTCTAACATCCCAGTGATAAACCCATGAAGCGTGGCTGGTCCAAGGAGACAGATTGTCATACATGACAACATGTCATGTGACCAAACAAACAAGAGCCATTAAAAAAAAAGGTTTACCAAGGCTTGTCTGTGTTTATAAATGAACTCTTCAGGTGTGCTGGCCCAGGGCGGCAGCTTGACATCGTCCACAGACTCTGGTGAACTGAAGTCTTCCCAGATCAAAACCTTGACATGACAAAAAACAATTGGTCTGCGTTAGTACTTGAGAAAATGTCCCACCTACATCTGCTGTCATAATCTTGCAATGAGTGAAGTCAAGAAAAGGTGTGTTTTTTTATGTGAAATTTATTTTTTTAAAATATTAACAGCAAATGTGGCCAAAACAATAATAGAACAATTTCAGGTTATGATGAGTAATTGAAAGCAAGGGTGTTTAAAATAAAGTATTGCAGTAAAAGATGAGCATGTCAATATCAGCAGTGCTGCAGACTGCACCGCCCCCTATGCAGTAAGACTTACCATTGAAGTTGACAAGAAACTCGGGGAAGTAGAAAAACTCTGGGATGAGTTCCTTGACATCATTTGGGTTGTCCATCAGGGAGGAGAAGCTCCCAGGAATTGAGTGGAACTGACGGTCGGGCACATCAAACCTGTGAAGTGATTGACATAAATGTAGCATCATTATACAGGTGATTTACACACAGGAAACTTGCAATTAAATGTCTGCTGATAAAGGATTTCAGGTGAAATGTTTTTTGATGGTCCTGTAATTTGACACAACCTGTCCTTCTGCGCAACCTGTTCTTTCACACAACCTTTTCTTGCAGAAATCATGTTCTTACCCATTCCTAAGGAAGTATTGTCTAAGCTTTTAATAAAAGAAGGATCAACTTTCCACTATATAAACAGATTTGGTTATCCACATACGGAAAAATTCAGCATTCCTTTGAATCCTATTTGATTTCATGTCAATATTTTCAAGCACAGCTCTAGCAATAGCCCATTGGATTTCAGAAATTTACACAGATGCAATGTCATTTGATACAGTTGATCATGTACAGATGGATGTCTCTATGCACTTACTTGCCACTCCGAAGCGCTATGTGCAGTATTGTAACCCCCCCTCCCTTCCACCAGCATCCACCAGTGTCTCTATGCACTTACTTGCCACTCCGAAGCGCTATGTGCAGTATTGTAACCCCCCTCCCTTCCACCAGCATCCACCAGTGTCTCTATGCACTTACTTGCCACTCTGAAGCACTATGTGCAGTATTGTTACCCCCCTCCCTTCCACCAGCATCCACCAGCGTCTCTATGCACTTACTTGCCACTCTGAAGCTATGTGCAGTATTGTAATCCCACCCCCCTTCCCTCCCTTCCACCAGCATCCACCAGCGTCTCTATGCACTTACTTCTTACTTGCCACTCTGAAGCTCTATGTGCAGAGTTGTAAACGGTTCGACCCTGACAAATACTGCATGACACTGGCAGCATTGCTGTAGTGGGTGCCTTAGTGAAACATTTCTATAATCCCAGACGGGTCCTCAAAGGTGTCGTTCCTGTTGGGAAAGGATGTGTTCTATAGTATTTGATACTGTATAGTCTTTAATAAATACCTTTTTTTTGTGGCATGATTTTTGTAACATTCTGGCCATTCCTTGTGAATATTTAAAGTAGTTAAAATGCTTTCTCAATAGCTTAAATCATCCAGATTCCACAATTATTTGGTGTGCTGGCATTCTGGTACCAAGGTAAACAAGATGTATTGTCACACGTATTATGATCAATAAATATAATTTTTATTTTTAAAAATTTAACCTCATGAAATAAGCGAAAAATAGAATATGGCTAATAGGAAAAATAAAATTACCCTTAGGAAAGAAGAGAAAAAGTGGATATGATTAAAAATAAAATTAACCTTATGAAAGAATTGATAAAAGAGGATTTGGTTGATATGGAAAAAAGTGCTGCAGTGTGATGTTGAATTTATGGGAATATAGGTTGTTGTCAGAGTGGTTGTTCAATCCAGATATTACAAAGTGGGTCCAATACAATGGATGGATTTCAGCATGGCGTCATTAGATAAACTTACTTTTGTAACAATAATCTATGTGGGCTGATTACCCTTGATATTACCTTACTTTTCTAACATAATCTACGGGGAATGGTTTCCATGTTTACCAACTTACTTTTCACGTACTTCCTCCTCATTGCGTGGATTGACAGCTCCGATGGGTTTGGACGAATCCTGGAAGGTATTGGGGTTTTCAAGGTCCAAAAACTTGGATGTGTAATCCATCAGTATCCATGGAAACTGAAGAAACAAAACATGGATCAATTAAAATTGTATTCCTTTCAAAACAAAATGTTACCCTTTTGATAAGAAGTCTTAGTATTATGATATAATGAAATTGATTAAACTTTTTGTGGAAATACTTTGATCTAACATAAATTTAGTTTCAGGTTTGGCCGGCGGTTGCAATACAGGCCCCATTGAAACATAAATTCTCCTCAAGTTAAAAAGTAGTGGCTTGGAACATAACCCCATTAGAGGCCAGGCTCAAGTCAGCAATACTACTCACCACGTGGTACTGGCTCAGATCATTGTAGGAGCCGCCTGCTATAGTGTTGAGCTGCATCAGGTATTCAAAGTTTGAGATCTCTCTGTTCACCCATTTGTGAGGAAATTGTGGGAGTGGGTTAAATATTTTTATGTTGATTCAAGTAGCAAAGACTTATATGCGACTGTGTAACTATAAGAATAAAACACAATAACTGCCCTTGATTACCTGAGTGAGACCAGAAGCCCCGAGCAGGTTTCCGGGTGACCTCTGACCTTTGAAGATCAGGTTCAAAGATCGCAAACTCAATATGTGACTGTAAATCTTGTTACGCAAGGTCTGAGGAGAGTGCAGACAAAATTACAAGTTTGAGAATTTAAATTTCATTTTAATGCCCTTCACGTCTCACTTCGTCCATTTACAACAAGGCTTTTGACTAACAACTTTCGCTATTCAGCACTTTCAAGCTGCTTCTTTGTGTTCAGGACTCACTCCAGTAGGCTTAAACTTAAATTATAAACCACAATCTTAGGCAAGTTGTTAGGAACCACTTCATTTGATAACCCTCAATTTCATTGGTTGAATTATGCTTATCAATATAAAAGATCAAATGATACGGTGGCTCTACCTTCTCAGGGAAGTTGATGAAATAGTGGGTCTGATCGATGAGGAATACTTCCAGGGCGCTACGTCTCAGATTGTATCTACGGAAGTGAATTTCCCGAAGTCGAGACAAAGACCACTTAAAATCTTCACCTCCTGAAAACACAAAACAGAATTAGTAAAATATTTAACTTCTTTTTTTAAAACAATTAAACATTTGTTTTTTGCTATCACATGATCCCATGAGAAAGGATTCTGAGTGTGTAGAGACATTTTTTTAAAGTAGACTGTCCCTCTCACTTTAAGTAGTTGTACATACATTTTAAAAATAGAATGTCACCGTCACTTGAAGTATAGAAATGTGTTTTAAGTAGACTGTCACTTGAAGTAGTTGAAGAGATATTAAGTAAAAGTACTTTTTTAAAATAATTTCTTAATTTGGCAAAGCAACATTAAAAAACTGTCATCCCCATTTTAAATGAGTATTGTGAAGAAAAAAAATGGAAAGACCCTTACAATTTTAAACTAGATTCTTTTTGAAATTTCCAAGCAGAAACATGAAGCCACACTGTGTCAGGAGGAAAAAAAATGAGAACCCTTCTTATAATGATGAAAAACACTTACATCAATTTAAAAAATACATCTCACTTTAGTCCTGACATATTTACCCCCCCCCCACCCCCAAAAATGAATGGTCCTTGACAAGTTATAACATCATGTTAGAATTAAAATGAGTTTAGGAATTTTTAAAAATTGATAGATATTTAATTTACAATTAGTTTCCACCATTTTAAAAAGGGTTCCATTTTTATCAGGACACAATCATGGATTTAACAGAGCCTGCAAGATAGCTAGTAGAAGTTACGTGCTTTGATTCAGCTCACTATGATGGGTGAAAGCTGATTTAACAGGGGTCAAGGTTGTCCATCCAAACAGATTGAACAAAAGGCCAAATATTGTTTAAAAAAAGATCTTAAAAAAAAAAAAAAAAAGAAATTTCATTTAAGAAAAAATCAGCAGTAAGAAACTTGGGAAAAAAAGAAAAAAAAAAA